AAAAAAAAAAAAAAAAAAAAAAATTTAATTAATTAAAATAAATAAATAAAAATAAAAGACTTAGCTATGAACATGAGGCACCCATAATAGAAAACAGGTTCATTCCCTAAGATAAAAGGACAAAATATAAGTCTGAAATGTTCTGAGACTAGAATATTAAGATCAGTCTAAAATAGAAGAACACAATCCTTTGTTTTGTATCTTATACGATTCCTCTGATCCATTACTTTTAAATTTTTTTTCAAATTGCCAGATAATATTGTATGTTTTTAATGTGTACCACATGTTTTGAAGTATATATACATTGTAGAATGGTTAAGTCTAGCTAATTAACACATGCATTACCTCATAGTGCCTCCATTACTTTTGATCAGCCTGAGTCAAGGGTACCATCACTCAAAATTAAACTACTCACTTCTGTGAATAAGGCTATTCAGGGAAACTCATACCTTTTTAATATTCCCAAAATAAGTTGCTTTCTATTTACTTATTAGAAAGCTATTATTTTTTGAAAAAAGAAAATGTAACTGATATCTCAGCCCTCTTTTTTAACAATTCATTTTTAAAGGAACTAGTCTAATAATAAAAATCCAGTGGACTGATAAGCAGGAGATCTTAGGTTCTCTTATCACAAACCCTTAAGTAACTCGCAACCTCAATTTTCATCTAATTAAATTAATTCTCTGATGAAATGCTATGCTTTAAAACTTGTAGTTTTGGGCGGCTCCTGTGGCTCAGTGAGTAGGGTGCTGGCCCCATATACTGAGGGTGGCAAGGTCAAACACGGCCCTGACCAAACTGCAATAAAAAAATATAGCTGGGCGTTGTGGCGGGCACCTGTAGTTCCAGCTACTCGTGAGGCTGAGGCAAGAGACTTGCCTAAACCCAAGAGCTGGAGGTTGCTGCAAGCTGTGACTCCACGGTACTCTACCATGGGCGACAAAGTGAGACTCTGTCTCTAAAAAAAAACTTGTAGTTTTAGCAATTCAGGCTTAAGATAATAAAAATAACCCATAAATAGCACGTTTTTGCCTAACAAATTGGTAAATAAATTATAAATAGTAACTACTCAATAACTCTAGAGAATAGGGAACCCTTATGTGAAGTACTGCTGCTGGTTAGATATAACATAAACCTGGAGAATAATTGGTTAATGTATGTCAGAAATAATAAAAACGTGTATGACCCAGCAATTCCATGTCTAGGAATTTATCCCGTAGACAACTTAGTTATACAACAGTAATTGAGCTACAAGGATGTCCTTGTAAAATTGAATATATATTAGTACATGTATATACCAAAAGAGATATACTTAAGTATACAGATGTATTAAAAACTGTAACACTGGGGTGGTGCCTGTCACTCAAAGGAATAGGGCACTGGCCCCATATGCCAGAGGTGGCGGGTTCAAACCCAGCCCTGGCCAAAAACTGCAAAAAAAAAAAAATAATAATAACACTGGTTATTTCTGAAGGTATATTATGGGCACTGTTTATGTTCTTTTTTTCCTACTCTGTATGTTCTAAATCAGGGGTGTCCAACCTGCAGCCTTGTTTTGTGAGGACTTCTGTGGCGTCAGATATCATGAAAAGTATGCACAGACCATTTTTTTGTTTCTGTTTTAGAGACAGAGTCTCACTTTATCACCCTTGGTAGAGTGCCACGGCGTCACAGCTCACAGCAACCTCCAGCTCTTGGGCTTAGGCGATTCTCTTGCCTCAGCCTCCCAAGTAGCTGGGACTACAGGCGGCCGCCACAATGCCTGGCTATTTTTTTGTTGTTGCAGTTTGGCTGGGGCTAGGTTCAAACCCACCCCCCTCCGTATTTGGGGCCAGCGCCTACTCACTGAGCCACAGGCGCTGCCCAGATCCTTTTTTTTTGTTAATCAGCTTTCATTAGTGTTTTTCTATTTAAGGCATGCCTCAAGGTAACTCATCTGCCAATGTGAGGCAAAGGGAAGGTTGGACACCCTGTTCTAAGTCGTCCATAATAGTAATGCAACACTTTACTAATGAAAAAAAGTTTACTCCCTCAACCAAATCAAATTTCCATGAAACAGCTTTAATTCTGTTAGCTATGTAACTATTTATGTGAGTTTTGCAATCTTTCATAAAACTGCTTCATAATAATACTTCTAAATCGCAGAATTATACCAATGTTAATTCGTCAGTTTTAATAACTACCATTTTTATGCAAGATGTTAACATTAAGAAGTTGTGATATGAGAATTCTCTACTATTCTGCAAACTTTCTGAAAGTCTAAAATTACTTCCAAAATTTTTAAATTGTTTAAAAAACCATCACACAACTTAACCTAAAATATAAAATTGCAAAAAAAAAATTTTTTTTTTTTTTTTTTTTGAGACAAGAGTCTCACTTTGTCATCTTGGGTAGAGTGCCATTGCACCACAGCCTCAAACTCTTGGGCGCAAGTAATTCTCTTGCCTCAGCCTCCCAAGTAGCTAGGACTACAGGTGCCCACCACAAAGCCTTGGTTAGTTTTTCTATTTTTAATAGAGACGGAGTCTCACTTGCTCAGGCTGATCTCCAACTCCTGAGCTCAAGCAATCCACACAGCTTGGCCTCCCAGAGGGCTAGGATTACAGGCGTAAGCTACTGGAAAATTTATAAATGCTTTACATAGTAATCAGTTAGAGTGTAATTGGTAACTGTAAGCTCACTAACTTATAGTAACAGTACTTTAAAACTAAATTAACATTTTGAGCATTTTAAGACCACTTTAAAGTATTTGCTATCAAAACCATGTTCATAACCTGATAAATGCAGACACTAGAACACTAAAATTTACATGCCATATACTATAAAAAGTAGAGCTCTTTTTTCAAATGTTTTAAGGGAAATATTGTATGATCAACTACACCCTACTTACAGGTTTTTTGTTTGTTTTTTTGTCACAGAGTTTTACTTTGTTGCCCTCGATAGAATGCCATAGCTTTATAGCTCACAGCAACCTCAAACTCTTGGGGCTCAAGTGCTCCTCCTGCCTCAGCTCCCGAATAGCTGGGACTACAGCCCCTCACACACACATCGCTTGGCTGCTATTTTTAGAGACGAGGCCTTGCTCTCACTCTCACTTAGGCTGCTCTAGAACTTCTGAGCTCAGCTGATCCACCCACCTTGGCCTCCCACAGAGTTAGGATTACAGGCATGAGCCACCTAACCTGGCTTTATGGGTTCTTACCACAAGAAGAATCCACTTTCTATACTCCTGGCCATGGGCAGGGTTAGACAGTTTATATAAATTCTGTTGTTTTGTTCTCATTTTATAGCTAAAGGATTTTAAAGCTCAGTACAGTAAGTTGGTTATTAAGTTACTCTAGGTCCCAACAGCTAATAAACAGTATAGTCAAGATTCTATCCAGAATATTAAAAAAAAAAAAAAAATTCTGGCCCAGGCAATAAATTAGCTCATCCAGTTCCTGATAAGCTCATTAGAAATGCTGTCTACAGCACAATACAGATGGTCCCAGGGTTATGGATAAGATACCTTTCTGAGAACATTTTTAGGTCAGGTTTACATGAAACTTGGATCCCTGAGGAACAGCGCGTGTACAGTGGCAATAGTAATAATAACAATAATGGCTCATGTTTGGTAATAATCCTACGGTATAATACTGTAACAATAATTATCCATAAACTGTAATAATGAGTTACAGAAACTACTGTGATCTTTTAATTCCTAGGCTAATACAAATCCTATTCTTATTTTGGTTTTCTAACCAAATCAATAATAACCTTTCCATTTCAATAATTAATCTCCTACACTTAGTCATAATTGATGCTTTCACAAGAGCACTGCCTTTCACATGTTCCATTATTCTCACTTTATCCTTTATATTTAAGCAACAAACGCCCAATGCCTTCCCAATGAATGATGGCATCTGACCTTGCTCTGAAAGCACATCCGCTGCAATTACCTTTCTGTTCACTGCAGGCTCATCTGGACTTGCAATAGACTTTTGCTTGGGAGGCATGATTGTAAGGGTAAATACAGACTCAAAATCAAATAAGAAACTCAAGATGAAAGTGATACTGTGCCTAGCAACTGTGTGTACAGAGAGACGAGCTGTTAACATAAAGATGCCACACTATCAAACTGCTCACACCATGCATATTAGTCTACTTGTGTGGAAGAAATTGGTTCCCTATCAGTAATCTAATTATTTGATTATAAATCATGCTGATGGGGAGTCTTAGGAGCCCATGTGCAAGCATGGGACGCCATTACGTTGGGTCATCTGCAACCCAGGGACTGTCTATACTGCAAAATTCACTGTTTATGCACAGATCTGCCTTTGGCATGCAGAATAATTAGTTACAGAGACCACTTACATCACCATTTATCATTTATTTCCCTTTTTAATTTTAGATTTTGGAAGACTTTATATAACATATGAAAAGGCAGCTAAAATACTGGAAATAATACCGATAGGGATCAAACATAAGAGAAATCTTGGTTGTAAAAACACCAGCCAGAGGACAGGAACACATTTTATTTATTTATTTATTATTTTGGAGACAGAGTCTCACCGTGTCACCCTCAGGAGAGTGCCGTGGCGTCACAGCTCCCAGCAACCTCAAACTCCTGGGCTTAACTCTTGTTCAGCCTCCCAAGTAGATGGGACTATAGGCACCCACCACAACGCCCACCCATTTTTTGTTGCAGTTGTCACTGTTGTTTTAGTTGGCCTGGGCCGGATTCGAATCTGCTAGCCTCGGTGTATGTGGCTGGAGCCATACCCAGTGTGCTGTGGGCACCGAGGCTAGGAGTACATTTTTAAACTCAACAAATCTTGAGTTGACCCTGCTCTTTCTCTTACTAGTTAAATTATCTTAAGCAAGAAAACTGACTTCCCTTGGAGAACCTAACATCATCATAATGCTTAATCCAAAATCTTTTATTTACTCATATATATATGTATAAGCACACAAACATACATATACTATGTATTTTGGAAATAATATTTAAAAACAAAACAAATATGTCCTGCACTGGAAAACAACGAATTATTTGAGAAACCCGTGAACTATTCAATAACTACATAGCTATAAAAATACTTATATCAGGCTGGGTGCATTGGCTCATGCCTGTAATCCTAGCACTCTGGGGTGCCAAGGGGGGTGGATCTCCTGAGCACAAGTGTTCAAGACCAGCCTCAGCAAGCATGATACCCTATCTCTACTAAAAAAAGAAAAGTAGAAAAATAAGCCCAGTGTGGGGGTTCACACTCGTAGTCCCAGCTACTAGGGAAGCTGAGGCTGAAGCAAGAGGATTGCTTGAGCCCAAGAATTTGAGGTTGCTATGAGCTATGATACCACGGCATTCTTCCCAGGGAGACAGAGTCAGACTTTGTCTCAAAAAAACAAAACAAAACAAAATCTCATATTTATATTGTAGATAAATCATTTCTTACCTTGTGCAAATGCCGAACGTGATTTTCCAAAAAAATCTTAGTTTCTGTATAAAGTCTTTCTCCAAGGGGTTCAGGATAGGCCACACATAAAGCATAGATATCTCTAGTTATATTATTAAGGTTTTCATATTCATTGGTGATATAATTTTAAAAGATGAAATTTAACTGACTTGCCATTAAATGAAAAATCATCTGTCATTTAGGCTTGATATACATAATATTGTCATATACACAACAAAAGTGAAATGTACAACCATGCTTACTTACTCTAACCATGTGCTTACACAGCACAACACGATTCATTCAACAAGTATTTGTTGAAAATTATTTAAAGACACCATGAGGAAAGTGGTTCCTTTTAGAGAACTTAAAATCCAGAGGGGTTTTCTAGAAAATCAAATTACCCAGAAACCTACAGAATAAGGCTTATGTGAGAACAGATAAAAGCACAGCATCAACAAAGGGCTAAGGAAAGAGGCAGACATGTCTGAGCAATCCTAAGAAACCGAAAAGTTACTCAGGATATACTACAACCTATCCACTGTCCTTTAGCATTTATTCTATTAGAAGAAATATAGTACAAATAATACCGATTAATCAATTAAGGTTTTGAATACCAACTAAGTACCTTGCCAGGCATGACCAGTGGTGGATAACCTCTAGCAAGAGTTGGAAGAAATGAGATCTAAAGGAGACTTTACCTTTTAGTAGCCATTGGTTTTTTTGTTTATTTTTTAGAGTCAGAGTCTTGCTCTGTTGCCCAGGCTGGTTTCAAACTCCTGGCTTCAAGTGATCCTCCACCTTGGCCTCCCCAGGTGCTGGGCTTACAGGTGTGAGCCACCACACTCGGCCATAGCCACTGACCTTAACCGAGTCTCTTAACCTCTCTGGAGTGCCATTCTCTGGGGTACCATTTCCCTTATTTTTTTGTAATATCCCGTGCTTTATTGAGTCCTTTGAAAGGATTAAAAACATATGCTAAGGATAAAAAGAGACGCTTTGCAACACTACTTTATGATCTTGGGACCAGACACAGTTAGATAGGATTCTTAAACTTAGGAATTTGATATGCTGCCTCCAACAAATGTGAAAAAGCATTCTGGAGGTAATAGCTCATTTGGCCCCATAAACATAGATGTCTAGGTCAAGAGCACTTCGTGGTTGAACAACAGATCCTAATTGTTTGTACCCGTGTATCAATCTAGGGAGGAAAAAAAGAACTCCTCATGATTGCTTTCAGATCTTTCATGGTAGAGCTTTGGCATGTGATCAGTAGAATGACCACCTCCAAACTATTTCCTAGGTAAAGATAATAAACATCCCTCTGATAAGACACAAATGAGTGGCTCAGTGCCCGCAGCCCAATGGTTAGGGCACCAGCCACATACGCCAGAGCTGGCAGGTTCGAACCTGGCCCAGACCTGCCAAACAACAATGACAACAGCAACAAAAAAACAGCTGGGTGTTGTGGTGGGCACCTGTAGTCCCAGCTACTTGGGAGGCTGAAGAGAGAGAATCACTTAAGACCAAGACTTTGAGGTTGCTGTGAGCTGTGACGTCATTGGTACTCTACTGAGGGTGACCCAGTGAGACTCTGTCTCAAAAAAAATAAAGACACTAATAAGCCCATCTCTACTAAAAATAGAAAAAACTAGTCCTGCATTGCAGCGGGTGCCTCTGTATAGTTCCAGCTACTCAGATCGGTTGAGCCCAGGAGTTTGAGGTTGCTGTGAGCTAGACTGACACCAGGATGCTCTAGCCTGGGGCATCAGGGTAAGAATGTCTCAAAAAAGCAAAAAAGATTCCTGCCCCCAAATCAATCTCATAATGCTCCACAGAAAACTCATCCACTTAATTTAAGAGATTAATTTAATAATGAGTTCTTCAAAGGCGGAATCCATATCACTTATCCTCTGTACAGACTGGGAAGCATAGGAATTGAATGTTTAAAGTCTTGTACCGAAGGTCGGCACTCCATCAATTACACATTACACTGGGCAAGACCCTTCACTTCTGAGATTAGTTTCCTCACCTGTTACATACATAAAGACAAGTAATCATATATGCTCCAGTGATCTGACAGGCTTGTATGAGCTATCAAATAACAAAAACAGAAAAGATCTTTGCAAACTATGAAGCCTTCCATCATTTTATGTTATCTACAGTGCCCAGAACATAGGTAGCTTAACAAGCATGCCTTGTAACATCTGCAACTAAAATCAATTAAGTGATTGCCTGTTGGTCTACAAATAGTGTTTTTCAACCTTTTTTTATCTCACAGCACACTTGAACCTATAGATCAGGGGTCCTCAAACTTTTTAAACAGGGGGCCAGTTCACTGTCCCTCAGACAGTTGGAGGCCCAGACTGCGGGCCCCGGGATGAGTCAGCTGCTAAGCAGGACAGGCAGCGGCGGCAAAAACACCTGGCAGGCCAGATAAATGTCCTAGGCGGGCTGCATGTGGCCCTCGGGCTGTAGTTTGAGGACGCCTGCTATAGATAAACTCCCATGGCACACTTAAATTATGTTGATCAAAAAAGAGTAAAAAAAGAATATACTTACTGTGCTTTGAAATTCTTTCAGCACTAATTTAATTAACGATCCTTAACAATGTTCATGGCATACCTAAAATCCTCTCACAGCACACCAGTGTGCTACAGCACACCAACTGAAAATCACTGGTCTAAAAGTGCTTCACTATTCTTGTATCAACACTCAGCTTAATGTTAACAAGTCAGATAGGCATCGAGAACAAGTTGAATCAGTGTCTAATGAAATCAAAGCATTTCTAAAGGACCTATGTCCTACCTAATGAAAGCAACCCCCCCCCCCTTTTTTTTTCAGACAGAGCCTCAAGCTGTCGCCCTGGGTAGAGTGCTGTGGCATCACAGCTCACAGCAACCTCCAACTCCTGCCTGGGCTCAAGCGATTCTCCTGCCTCTGCCTCCCAAGTATCTGGGACTGCAGGCGCCGGCCACAACACCCCTATTTTTTGGTTGCAGTAGTCATTGTTGTTTGGCAGGCCCAGGCTGGATTCGAACTCGCCAGCTCAAGTGTATGTGGCTGGCACCTTAGGTGCCTGAGCCACAGGCGCTGAGTCAAGGCAACCCTTCTTGACCCCAGAAGATTGCTAGAGAGGGAGGACCACACTAGTCAGGTCTAGCACAGTGATTATCAACCTGAGTCACACTGGTGTGCCACGAGAAGGTCTCAGATGTGCCATGACAATTTTTTGAAGATCATTATTTTCAAAAGAAGTTCAAAGCACAGGAAGTACATATATTTTTTACTGTATTTTCTGATCAATGTAACTTTTAAGTGTACCACGGAAATTTAATATTCAAGTGTGCCATGAGATAAGAAAGGAGAGAATGAGAGAAAAACACTGGCCTAGCAGATTGCTATCATGTAAGAATGAAGGATACCAGGCTTCAGAGCACCCTATAGAAAGCACGCATCTGCTTTTTTAATACAAAAATGGCCAATTTGTATAGCCAATCTAACTAAAAAGCAGGCTTCCATCGCAGTCATTGAACTTGCTGCTCACCCAGGGACTGCAGGGCTTGTTCCTTCATTTAGTTCTAGCCTCTGCTCAAATGCCCCCACCCTCAGGAGGACCTTGACCAAGTACACAGATGTACTCCAAGCCTTCACACCCTTACCCTGCTTTAATGTTCTCTGCAAAATTTATCGTTATCTGTTACTAGAAGCCATAACATTAGCTTCTTTTATCTGTTTATTGTCTGTATCCCTTATTATAATAGAAAGAAAGGAGTTTTTTTGGTTCACAACTGTATTCCCAAAGCCTAAAGTAACACCTGACAGATACTATGTACTAAATATTGGTTGAATGAAAAATTATCAAATGTTGACACCACAAAAGAGATGGTGAACTTGGAGATGTAAAGAATACAGTTGAAAATACTTATACGCTGGAAAGTTCTACCATTTATATAAGCTTAAACGTGTTCTCATTTTTCAACAAGTTTATCAATTTCAGAACAAGCTGCCGCTAAAAGGATACGAGAAGCGATCATTCCATGTTGCTCTTTCGACGTATTCCAACATGACAACAGCTTTGATAGTAGTTAAAAGTTTGTTCCATGTTTCATCAAAATCTACTACTCTTGGTTTCAAGGACATTGTGCAAGGTTAGTGTTGAATCTGTCAATCAAAAACAATAACTGCATTAGCATGAATTCTGCAAGTGTCGCTAATTATTTTTAAAGCAGCACATAATTAAGTAGCATGATATATGAATGGAATAAGAACGGAACCTGACACATAGTAACGAACTAAACACTGACTATCATCTTTTCGTAACTATCTAGACAAGAAATTTCACAGACCATTTACATTCATTACAAATTTTAAGCAATGGAAAGCTTTTAGTGAAATGATTTATGACTAAGGATACTGCTTCACAGATATATAATCCTCACTGAATATGCTGAGGGAAAGAAGCTGGGACCCAGTTGACCGCAGAGCCAAATCCCATCATGGAAAACATGCAGGACACTCAACAAAAAATGTTTTGTCCCCAATCTTCCTTGTTGGCACTCTCAACCTGGAGGAAGAGTAGCATGAAAAGACACAAGGAGATGTCTTCCCGGAGCATCAGTTTTGGTAAAAGATTAGGCAGGAAATTGACATTTATATTAAAACAGTAAATTGTGGGTAGAATACAAAACTCACATGACCTTTAAGATTTCAGGCCAGAGTCAGCAGTTCACACCTATAATCCTAGCACTCTGGGAGGCCAAGGCGGGAGGATTGCTTGAGCTCAGGAGTTCGAGACCAGCCTGAGCCAGAGCCAGACCTCTCTACTAAAAATAGAAGAATCAGCCAGTCAGTGTCAGATGCCTGCAGTCCCAGCTCCTTGGGAGGCCGAGGCAAGAGGATTGCTTGAGCCCAGGAGTTGAGGTGCTGTGAGCTCTGACGCTATAGCAGTCTACCCAGGGCAACAGAGTGAGACTCACTCACTCAATCAATCAATCAATAAAAATTAAAGATTTCAAAGAAATGCCAAGATCACAGCAGAGAATTTTAGGCTTCTTCTCAGCTTCTTGGCTTATATGCACCAACTCCTCTAGTGAGAAGCACAGCTCTAGCATGGAACCCCAGTTCCAGTGAACTTGAGAGGACTCTACAGGATAGTAGCTGACTTCTGGAACCAAAAAGTAGAAATTTAGTTCAAGCTAGATTCTCAATCTTTCCCAAGATCACCTTGGAAGGACAGAATTAAAAGAGAAACTTTGTAAGATAAACTGAATTGCCCAAAGGAATGCTTTTCTGGCATGTTTTAACAACCTCCGCAAAGTCACCCCTTATTACCAGGACTGTGAAACACCAACCTCGTCTGTCGCCAAGGTGAAGTAGGGATGAAATATCTTTTCTCTTGTCTCCCACACAATGGGGAAGAGGGAATGGGGCATAAAGAGCAAAGGAGACAGAGTGGAGAACAGCTACCCTGCCAGCTATAAACCACCACAGGCACTTCCAGTGTCTATCCTGAGAAGAAAGAGCACAAGAGGAGCCCCACAGATAAACTTGGAATAAAATCCTTGTGTGTGTGGGGGGGAATTCAAAGAAAATCCTTACCCACAAGTTCAGAACTTGTCCCCAAGGCCACATCAAAAGACAGAACCACAGATAGAGAGGCTGGCAGAATCTTCCCTTTTTGCAGAAGTAACAAGCTTTTATATAGTTCTGATCAATCCTATCTTCAGCTGAGACAATCTTGTGGTCGCCACCTGGATTTATCCCATTTTGACTAAGATAATCTCAACATCACCACCTGAGACAAGAGAATCACTTGAGGCTCAGCGCCCGTAGCTCAGTGGTTAGGGCACCAGCCATATGCACTGGGGCTGGCGGGTTTGAACCCAGCCTGGGCCTGTTAAAAACAATGACAACCACCACCAAAGACTTGCTGGGCCTTGTGGAGGGCGCCTATAGTCCCAGCTACTGGGGAGGCTGAGGTAAGAGAATCACTTAAGCCCAAGAGTTTGAGGCTGCTGTGAGCTGTGATGCCACAGCACCCTACCAAAAGGCAACAAAGTGAGACTCTGTCTCAAAAAAAAAAAAAAACAAAAAACAAGAGAATCCCTTGAGCCCAAGAGTTTGAGGTTGCTGTGACCTATGACACTATAGCACTCTACAGAAGACAACAAAGTGATGCTCTCAAAAAAAAAAAAAAAGAAAGAAAGAAAGAAAGAAAGAAAGGTGTAAGAGGGTTTTGAAGAGACAGAAAACATTTTTACACCTTTTCGGGCCATTTTCTCTGATACAAAAAGTCATATATCCAAATAAGAGTATGCCACACTAATAGAACCCTCTTTCCTCCACATACCAATGGCTCCATCTCTTTACCTTCAATTTCTTCTGAACTATCTAGAACAGAATAGCAGTAATTTCTTGTGCAGAGGGTAGGGGGCAGGGAGGAGGCTCTGGGAAAACCTACCGGTTTTACTTAGCTGTCAATTAGGGAATGAACTGTAACTCCTCTTCCTAGTCACCACATCCTATCCAACTACTGTGCTCCTGAGTATTTCCTGAATCTATGTACTCCTGTGTAACCCTGCAAATGCTCTGCTGGATCCAGGCTCTCAGCAGAAATAACAGATGCTACATCCATTAGGTTATTGAGTAAGAAATGTCCGATTTTCTCAAGTACTAAGTTTGACAGCTGGTATCTCTGACATTTCACTTTAACATTTCATAAGGGTTTTTTTTTTTTTTTTTTGTAAAGGTACATCCTCATTCTTTCAAACTCATGGATTCTGGCTTGTGATTATCTTTTGATTTTTTTTTACAGCAATTTTTGTGAAACCCTGGCTAAGTAAAAAATATGAGTTCCATCATGGCACCAGTGCAGTGCGGGTGTTTGAGAAGTTCGGTTTAGGTGATTTTAATCTTGAAAATGAGCTTTGTGGAAGACCTGAGACCGAGGTAGATTATGATGAGTTCAAAGTTAGAGTGGAAGTGAATTCATCTCCACCTGTGCATGAATTAGTTTGAAATCACTATTCCAACAACATTGGACCATTTGAAACAAATTGCCACAGTAAAATAAAGAAGCTGGATAGATGGGTTCCTCATGAATTCAACAAGCATCAAAAGAGAAATCTCAAATTCTGCTTGCCTTTCTCTGCTGTCCCAACATAAAGGCAAACCATTTCTATACCGTATTGTTAAGGTGTGATGAAAATGGATTCTTTCTGACAGTCACAAGCATGTGGCACAGTGGCTGGATCAAGATGAAGCGCAAAAACACAGTCCAAAATCAAATATTCACCCCCAAATCCTAATGGTGTCTGTTTGATGGTTGCTAAGGCCTCATGAAACCTGGTCGATTGATTACAGCAAATGTCCGCTGCAACCCAGTGGACGACGTAATGAGGATGCGTGTGATGAAGCAGCGAGACTGGTCAGTAGAAACAGGCCAGTCCTCTTGCAAGATAATGCTGGATCACAGGTCACACAAACATTGCTCAAACTACAGAAGGAAGCTAGACTTGGAAACCGTCATCCACCATACCCAGCAGACCTTGCACCAACCACCACTGCTCCCAGACTTTGGACTACTTCTTGCAAGGAAAAACGCTCAACTCTCAACAAACTGTGGATAACACCTTTTGTAATTTCACTGACACTTGCTCTCAAGGCTTCTTCACCGCTGGCATAAACAGGCTACTGTTACGATGGAAAAACTATGTCAATACTTTAGGCATACTTCGATTAACTGCACTAATTCTCACATACTGTACATAGGAAGTTTATTCTCAATAAACTTTTTTTTAAGACACAGTCTCAAGCTGTCACCCTGCGTAGAGTGCCATGGCATCATCGCTCACCAGCAACCTCCAACTCTTGGGCTCAAGAGATCCTCTTGCCTCAGTTTTTCTATTTTTTAATAGAGATGGGGTCTCACTCTTGTTCAGGCTGGTCTCAAACTCGTGAGCTCAAGCAATCCATCCACTTTGGTCTCCCAGAGTGCTAGGATTACAGGTGTGAGGATACAATAAAATTCTGATGCAAAACCAGACATTTCAGAATTAAAATATACTGCTTACTACAGGCTAAGCCCTAGTCTAAGTGCATTGCATAAGCTAACTTAATCCTTCCAACAACCTGATATGTAGGTCCCACTGTTCTCTCCATTTTCTACATAAAACAAGTCACAGGGTGATTAAGAAACTTGTTCAGGCCAGCCCTGCTGGCTCATGCCTATAATCTCATCTAGGAGCCCTAGACAAATATTGGAAAGGAGGATTACTTTGGGCCAAGAGTTCAATACCAGCCTGAAAAACACAGCGAGTCTCTATAAAAACTAAAAAAGAATTAATCAGGTGTGGTAGCCCACACTTGTGAGTCTCATCAAAAGGCTGATGGGGACAGATCACCTGAACCCAGAAGTCTGAGGTTACAGTAAGCTATGATGACGCCACTGAACTCTAGCCTGGGCCATGGAGCAAAGACCCTGTCTCAATAAAATAAGGATATTTCTTCTGAGAAGAAGAAAAGAAGGGAGGGTGGGAAGGAAGAAAGAAGGACAAGGAAAATTAAGATGTTCGGTTTACATACTTGGAGGAAAAAAAAGAAACTTGTTCAAGGTCACAGAACTATGTATGGCGCACAGGACTGAGAACCATGCTGCGGCCTGTGCTCTCATCTGCTACGTGTGTTTTCAGTGACTGTTTACTCTTTGCCAGGTACTAGTCTAGGTTCTGATACAGTGGCCAAAAAACAGTTTTTGACTTGGCTCGGCGCCTGTGGCTCAGCAGCTAGGGCACCAGATACATGCACCAGAGCTGGTGGCTTTGACCCCAGCCCAGACCTGCCAAACAATGACAACTACAACCAAAAAAGAAAAACAAAACAAAACAAAACAAAAAAGCCAGGTGTTGTGGCGGGCACCTGTAGTCTCAGCTACTGGGAGGCTGATGCAAGAGAATCACTTTAAGCTCAAGAGTTTGAGGTTGCTGTGAGCTGTGACGTCACAGCACTCTACCAAAGGTGACAAAATGAGACTCTGTTTAAAAACAAAAAAAGTTTTTGACCTCAAGATTAGATTCCTGGACTTTGCCCTTATCAAAAGACATAAAACAATAAACTATGTAAATCAAAAAGTTAACCAAGTGGCTCAGCGCCTGTGGCACAGT